TGGAAATCGAAGAGGAGAGCTGTGCCGTTTTCATCTGTGAGCTGTCCGAGGACAACGAGGAAGTGGAATGGTTCCTCAACGACACACATCTTTACCCCAACAACTTCAACGAGATCAAGTGCGTGGGCAAGTGTCATTCCCTGACACTGAAACATGTCATGCCAGAAGACGCAGGGACGGTGACAGTCAAGGTGCAGAAGCGGTTCTCTGAGAGTGCCCGACTGAAGGTGAAAGGTGAGCCCCCCTTATTAGGGATGGGCACAAACTACAGAATTGCCATTCAGTTCAGTTCGTGGTTTGTGAGAGAACCACGAACCGAACCACAACCCCACGAATCAGTTGGTTCGCATGCGAACCAAACTGGATTCGTGAGGTTCGTGCCTGAAACAAGTGAACTGCGGGGGCAGCATGCCCCCATGGCTCAGTTATTTGAGGTTGTATTACTTGCCTGCCTCCCTTTGTGGAATTCAAGGTGGCTTACACTATGAATAAAACATTGTGTTTTTTTTTTAAAAAAACTCCCAACGAAAACAGGCATTATAAGACCCATAAAATGTCACAATCTAGAAACTCCAATTGGTACCAACCTCATGGGTTTCAGCTGAGCACACTGGAGATCGAACCTGGGAGCTCCTGCATGCCCAGCAGATGCTCTACCACTGAGCCACAGCCCCTGTTTTAATGTTTTTTTTATGTGCACCACCTTGGGAACCTTGATCGGGTGGAGTGGTGGTGTAAGAATGTTTTAACTGAATAAATAAAATAAAGGCTGGCCATGACACGTAGCCAAAGGGCTGCCCTTCAAGCTCCGTTCAACTTGTGTCGCCAGTTGGATATGAACCACCGTTTCGTTAAGTTGGATCTAAGTCCCCGGTTTTTCTTCCTCACTGCAATATATCTCTCCTTATATATAATTGAATAGTGGGTGCCAAAGTTCTAATTCTAAAATGCACTCCCTTAGTGTATGGCTGATGACACTGCTCCTCAGCATATATCGCCACGAATCAGAAGGCAAAGCCCAGGTCCCACCCACACCACAACTGCTGCGACAACCTGGTCTTTTGCATTTGGAAGCTGATTGGACTTCACTCCATTCCACACCTCAAACTCTCCCCCCCCCCGCAAGGCAGTTGGAATGTCAGTTGCATATGGAACCTGCTGTATTCTGGTGGTGTGCAGGTCCCAGGTTCATGTTTCAAAAGCAGACTGACACTGTTTGCCCAAAGCCAGAGCACTCTCCCAGAGCCTCTTTCTAGATCTCGTTGTATTTATTTCCACAACGGGCCTTATTTCTAGTGTATATATATTTTAGAGAAGCCCGCCGTCTTCATGAAATCGCTAGATGACGTCGTCGGGGAGGAACGTGGTACAGTCACTCTGGAGTGCGAGGCCTCCAAGCCAAAGGTCAAGCCCGTCTGGAAGAAGGAGGGTGTTGAACTCTCCCCCGGAGACAAATACGAGATGCTGCAGGCCGGGAAGACGCTGGGCCTCACCATCCACAACCTGAGCAAGAGCGATGCTGGCTTGTATACGTGTGACCTCGGCACCGAGGTCGCCAAGTCAAAAGTCAGTGTTCAAGGTAGGGATCGGGAAATCGGGTAACCCCGGAATGGTAGGGTTAGGGGAGCAACATAAAAAACTCATTATGTCACACACTGTTTTGCAGGTGATTGAGAATTTGGATTCGGCTCAGCCTAAGTCCAACCAGCTGAGGTGCTTTATGGAGTTTTATTAAGAATAAACTCTAAAACAGTTAACTCACAAACTCTCGTTGTTGTCATTAGCCATTCAGTCGTGTTTGACTTTTGGCAATTCTATGGGCCAGCTCTCTCCACATTTTCCAGTCTTGTACCATTTCTTTGAGTCTTTCCGTGCTCAGGCTGGTGGCGACTTCTATGGTGTCTAGCCACCATGTTCTTTGGCAGCCAGGTTTTGCCGCTAACCAATCCAAGCATAATTGCTTTTTCTAGTGAGTTCTGCCACATGACATGGCCGAAATAAGTCAGTTGCAGATTTGTGATTTTTTTCCTCCCAAAGGCATGCCTGGTTTTATGCGCTCCACTACTTGCTTGTTTGTCACCTTTGCTGTCCAAGGAATGCGTATGCTCTGCCCTACACAAAGCGAGCTGAAAGAAATAACCGCCGAGAGGAGGGCTGTGTGGGCGTGTCTTTTGGGCTTTTGAGGTTCACCACCACCACCGAGACAATCTCCCTGCCGTGAGTCAGGACTGGGCATCAGCTCCTGACAAGAAGCAGGAGTCAGATACTGGTGATCAGGGCCACACACCCCTAATGTAGCCAATCCTAATGAGTTTCTTCTGTTGGGTGTGGCCTATTATGCTAATGAGTTCCTGCTGGGCGTGGCCAACTCAGGAGCCAGCCGGAACTCTGTCCCTGTGTGTTCCTGCCCCAAAATAGCCCTGCTGGTGATGTTGGGAATTTATCTCAATGAGGTCCTCAGCTCCCTCCCCCAGTTCAAAAACCATGTTTTTTTGGGGGGATGATCCTGATTGGACAACGGCACAAGGGGAGGGGCAGGTTTAAGCCCTCCCGCCTCCCAGTCTGGTATGGCTCTGGGTAGCTATTTTTTTATTCCTTCCACTGAGGCAAACATACAGGTACCCATTAGGGAGGCTTCCCGGCCTCGCTGTCTCTTGCCTCCTGGCCAGCTGAAGGCCAGCGGTGCACGGGGGGGGGGGATGTTTAAGAAAGTGGTGTTAACACCAACCGCTATAGGATTTAAGCAAAACTCTATGGGTTCACCCATCCCTGCCACTCTTGCATGTTGCTCTGATGGGGCAAATCTCAGCACCCCAGGGCAGCATCAGATGGGAGCAGTGGCATACAGGAAGGCTTCATTGGCATACTCCATTTCAGGGGTCATTTCGTAGAAAAAGAGATGCAGGAGCTCATTAGCTTAACTCGTTAGCATCACTTATTTGCATAGGCCGCACCCCCTGACATCACCGGAAGTGTGTCAGACTGGTGGCAGCTCTCCAGGGTCTCAGGCAGAGGTCTTTCCCATCACGTCTTACCTGATGCTTTTATCTGGAGATAAGAACATAAGAACATAAGAGAAGCCAATGTTGGATCAGGCCAAGGGCCCATCCAGCCCAACATCCTGTCACCCAGTGGCCAAAAATACCAGGGGGCATCAGGAGGTCCAGCAGTGGGGCCAGAGATGCCAAGGATTGAACCTGGGACCACCTGCATGCCAGACTGATGTTCTGCCAGTGAGCCACAGCCCCTCACTCCATGCTTAGGGAACGATCCAGTGGCACCGCCGCTGTGACAGCAGCCAGCCTCCTCTGCGACGGTGACCCTGACGGCGAAGGACCTGGCAGTTGTCCCGCCAGTGTTCAAAGTGGTGGTGGGAAGCAGAAGGTGGGGGCAGGAGGTCCTGCTGCTCCCACCGGGTGTGGGCGTCTGTCAACCCTGGTTCTGGGGCATGTTGTCAGTCTGCACTGGAGTGTGCCCGTACAAGCTTGTGCAAGATCACAACGTCTCTCTCCCTGGTAATCCGTCTACCTTCTCCCTTCCTTCCCCAGAGCTGAATATTGGCATCACGAAGCGTCTAAAGAATGTCGAAGTCTTGGAAGGAGAGAGCTGTAGCTTTGAATGTGTTCTCTCCCACGAAAGCGTGGAGGACTGCCAGTGGCTGGTCAATGGAACTGAAGCGGGCCAGGACGGACGGATCAGAGCTTTCAACAAAGGGCGGAAGTATACCCTCAACATCAAAAAGGCCCGGCCTTCTGACGCGGGAGACGTGGTTTTCTCGGTCCGCGACCTGAACTCCAAAGCCAGTCTAGTTGTGAAAGGTAGGTGGTGTTGCGAGGTACCTTCAAGAGAAGACATTTTAAATGGAATGCTTGAGACTGCTGACGTGGATAAACTCACTGTAATGTCGAAAGGACAGAAAGAAGCAACTTCTGAAGATACTTGGTCAAGATTCTATAAATGGATTGAAGAAGACAACAGATAAAATACATAGGCACTCAACCTTACAGAATATTATAAAAAACTTTATTTTAAAACATATGCAAAAGACTTACAATAGTAGTAGTAGTAAGATTTATTGTGTAGCCAATGGCCATTACAATTTAAATTTTAACAATATACAAATTAGACAACTTGCAGCAGTTTGGTGTAGTGGTTAAGTGCGCGGACTCTAATCTGGGAGAACCGGGTTTGATTCCCCACTCCTCCACGTGCACCTGGCTGGATGACCTTGGGCAAGTCGTAGTTCTAATAAGAGCTGTTCTTGAAAAAGTGCAGTTTCTGTCAGAGCTCTCTCAGCCCCACCGACCTCCCAGGGTGTCTGTTGTGGGGAGGGGAAGGGAAAGGAGTTTGTAAGCCGCTCTAAGACACCTTTGGGTAGTGAAGGGCGGGGTATAAATCCAATCTCTTCTCTTCTTCTTCGTCTTCACTGGAATTTGAATTAGAATAAGCTCTAAAATCTGCACATTCAGTATTTAAATTATTGTAATTAAAATCTTAAATATAGATACCCATCTCCAGAAACACATACACATTGCCGTTTTACAGTTCAATTTCATTTCATTTTCCTATGTTCTTGGCCCTGATTTTACTAGCCGCTAAGGCGAAGAGTGCTACCCTATAGGAAACTGTAGGGTCTGCGTCTGACCTCAGAAATACTAATTTATCGGTGTCAGAAATTTTTTGCAATTGATCTGTTATTGCAGTCAAGAGCTTACATCTCGGCTCCCAGTACAATGGGCAGACCATGACATAATGAAAAAGATCCTCCACAGCAGTTTTACAGAAACAAATATGTTGTTCCGGGGGTTATTTTAAGTATCGTCCCAGCAAAAGACGTACATAAAAATACAAGGTGGAACATAGCAAATAATTGATTAGATATGGTATGAAGTATTTAAACAAGTAACTCCATGATGTCATGGAATCCCCCCCCCCCGTATATGTATGTATGTGTGTTTGTGTTGTGTTTGTCTTTAAAATAAAAAAGCATACCTTAAAAACAAACAAAATGGTAGGTGGTGTTGCATTCGCATGTTATGGCATAACATGTGCTCAGCGCATCCAATTGGATCTATTAACGTGTAAATGTTGCTTGGATGAGTGCCTTTTTGCAGCAGTTTTTGCAGCAATTCTGTAGCCGATAGGGCACTAAACGTGGAGGATGATCCTTCTCCCCCCCTTCTTTTCCCCTAGAAAAGCCGGCTGAATTTACAAAGCAGTTGGAGGACAAGACCGCATCTGTGGGTCAGGAGGTCAGCCTGAGCTGTGAAACATCCAAGTGGGACGGCAACATCAAGTGGTGCAAGGACGGAAAAGAGATCCGGAGGAGCCAAAAGTTCGACTTGCGCCAGGAGGGAACTAGGGCCATATTGATCATCCATGACGCTTCGGTCAAGGATAGTGGAGTGTACACGTGTGAGACGGAGATTTCCAAAACCAAAGCCACCCTGATGGTGGAAGGTCAGTGGCTGCATCCCATGAAGAAGAGCCCTGCTTCACACAAGGGGTAGTTGACTTGTGGAACTCATGGCCACCAGATATGGTCATAGCTATTAGCAAGGGTCATTTAGTAGAAAAAGAGGTGCAGAAGCTCATTAGCATAACTCATTAGCATAACTTATTTGCATATGCCACACCCCCTGACATCACTGGAAATGTGTCAGAAGGCAACACCCACCGCTCAGGCCCCACTGGACTGTTTTGGATTGCTAGCTATTGGGGGGGGGGGACATGCAGATCTGTCCTTGCAGAGGAGGGAGAGCTTGTACCTGAATAAAACTTGGTCTTAAATGTGCCACTGGACTGTTTTGGACCGGGGGGCCGGGGGGGGGGCTCTGCAACTTACCTGGCTGCTTCTTGCTCTGACTGAGGGCTGCTGGGAGCAGGGGGCGTGGCTTGTTGCATGTGCTCGCCCCCTGGGCTCTTTACTGCCGGAGCTCCGCTCCTGTGCGCTCCTGCAGGAAATGTCCCCTGGCTATTGGCTTAGAATGATAGAATCATAGAGTTGGAAGCAGTGCTCCCTCTAAGCTGAGTTAGCTCAGGAAGGAAAGCTCCAGTGCAAACTAATTTACGCTCGCTTACAACTTCAATGCCAGCAGCTCTCAAAGTAGAATTTTTGCTCACAAGCCTCCATAGCTTAGAGGGAGCGTTGGTTGGAAGGGACCTCCAGGGTCATCTAGTCCAACCCCCTGCGCAATGCAGGAACTTCGCAAATACCTCTCCCCCATACCACCAGTGACTGCTGTTTCATGCTCAGGAGATGACAAAAAGCCTCCAGGATCCCCAGCGAAACTGGCCTGGAGAAAAATGGCTTTGTGACCCCAAAGTGGCGATCAGCATTTCCCTGGGCGTGTAAGAAAGGGCCACGAGAACTAACCCTCCCTGCCCTCCCTTCTCATGACCTGCCTAAGTTCACAGGATCCGCATTGCTGTCAGATGGCCTCTGTCTGAAAACCTCCTGAGAAGGAGAGCCCGCCACCTCCCGAGGAAGCCTGTTCCACTGAGGAACCGCTTTGACAGTCAGGAAGCTCTTTCTAATGTTTAGCCAAAAACTCTTCTGATTTAATTTCAACCCGTCGGTTCGGGTCCGACCTTCTGAAGCCACAGAAAGCAACTCCGTCCTGCTTAGATGGCTTTAAAAGCAGGTGGGGCGGACAAATGTATGGAGGCTAGGGCTCCTGCTGGCTATTATCCACAACAGCTGAATGGAATCTCCAGGTCTAGAGGCAAAGTATTTCTGATTCGTCAGATGTTGGGGAACAGACAGCTGGGGAGGGCTGGTCACTTTGGGCCAGCATGTAGAGGAAGAAGAAGAAGAGATTGGATTTATACCCCGCCCTTCACTTGGAGTCTCAGAGCGGCTTACAAACTCCTTTTCCCTTCCCCTCCCCACAACAGACACCCTGTGAGGTGGGTGGGGCTGAAAGAGCTCTGACAGAAACTGCTCTTTTTCAAGGACAGCTGTGCCAGAGCTTGTGACTGACCCAAGGTCACACCAGCAGGTGCAAGTGGAGGAGTGGGGAATCAAACCTGGTTCTCCCAGATTAGAGTTCACACACTTAACCACTACACCAAACTGGCTCTCAGGCTTCCCTGTGACACTGGACTGACCACAGTTGGAAACAGGATGCTGGGTTAGATGAATCAGCGATCTAGGATAGCTCTGCATTTGTGGCTTTAGCGCAGGTACAGGGACGTCCTTCCCAGTTAGGAAGAATATGCCTTTTATTTACTTATTTATTTACTTACTCAGATTTGTAACCCGCCCTCCCCGCCAAGGCAGGCTCAGGGCGGCTAACAACATAAAAACACAGTACAGTAAACACATACTGATTGAGGTTTATAAGATTATGCATGGGAAAGAGCAGGTAGGGAAA